TACATTAAACATACGTCCTATTATTATTATTAATAATAATATAAATGCGAAATTTTGTGATAGACAGATGTTTATAAGGAAAGATACTTTTTCAAGCAAAACCTATATAACGAATTCTAAAGCTATTTGTATACAGATACATCATATGCCAGATGAATATATAGGACAGTTATTACCCAAATTCACGCGGGTAGCAACACAGGATACAGTTAGTAACAAGATAATACGGAGCATGTATTCATTGTAACAAAACAAGGATTTATTTATCAAGGCATGAAAGACAAGAAAAGAATGAAATGCCTCCTGAATTGGAGCAAAATGAAATATTTCTTTGACAAAAGTTACACGAAAGAGACAGTACAGAAGTGCTCAGCTCAAATCATCGCTCTGCGCCACTTTTCAACTGCCAATTTTCCTTCCTTTGTTTTCGGACGCTTGAATTTTCATAAAAAATATTTTTGCCTGTCATTTATTTGAATGTCATTCCTTTTGATGTTCTTCATTGTTTATAATTACTGTAATATATTTCTTTGTGATCGTAACTCTCGATTTACGTATCACGATTCCTTGTAAATTCTTGAACAGACTTCCGATATTATGAGTCAACATTTAAAATGACACAAAGCGCAACAAAAACAAAGTGCAATATAAAGAAACAAAGACATTTGTTGCAAAAAGAAACCTAAAATAAGAGTACCTTGAACATCACAAGGCGCAAATAAATAACGTACAAAGAGGGACAGTATATTTTGTTTAGCGGAAGTACTTAGTTCTATTTCGGTGAGAATACTGACGGCAACGTTCAGTTGTGGGCTTGTGAGCAATTGGGAGACCGTCACGACACAAAACACCACCACACAGATTTATAAGTACACACAAAGGCCCTTTAACACATTTCATTCGTGAAATTCTTTGAAACCACAAGGGATGACCTAATCCCAAACGAAGAGTTATCTCGGCAGTTTTCAGTAATTTAGACAAATATTTGTCGCACTCTAATATACCTACTACACAGGAATAGAGTTCAAACTATGTTCAAGCCATACGAAAATGGCAAAATCAGACGAGTATTGTTTTTTTTCATCATACATAAGCCAATGCGTACTATTATAAACATACATAAAAAGCGAAATGATATGTATAATCTCATTTCGCTTTTACTCAGCCGTTACCATGACGTTTTTTTAAGATAAAATATAGCCTATGTACATCCTCAAATCAATTCAGACTAGCATTTAGGATATTAGTACGAATATTTTATTTTATTCTTTTTCGTTAACTGTAACGGTAAACAGCAATAAAATAATTAAATTGGATTTAGTACTTGACATTTAGGTAGAAGTTTCACTGACATCACATTTCAACTCATGTGTACATATGTAGGTACTACCAAAAAGTGTATTTGTAAATTATTTACTATAAATATGCACTTGCATACATGCCAAGTGACTATAAGACTTTTATGGCCTGTTTACGAGTGTATATTAAAGTTGTTAAATCTTTATTGACTTCGTTGGATTTGGTCTTCTAAATATATTTTAGTAAGGGGTTACGTCCTTCTCGAATTAAAACTGTTCCCGTTCAAAGTTCCATGACGCACAAGGTTCTATTCCCTTAGATTAAATCCACGAAATATCCTCCGTGTGGCTTGCGTGTCTTTCTTTCGATGTTTATTTTTCCCTAAATACATTTGAAAGAATCTCGTTTAACTTTTACAATTCATTTTATAGAAAATGCTCCTTTTAGCACTTAGCCGACGTGGAAACAAACTTTAAGAACATTGTCTTCGAATATTCTAAAAACAACAGGTAACAACAGCTCTTGTTATTCAGTTCCGTCCTTCTTTATTTTAATTTGAAAATTATTCTTTCATTTTTCTGCCAGTTTTCATTTATAATAATTTGAACAGTCCAATTACAAACTTAAATATTTTTATATTTATACTATTTTGTTCCCTGTTTAAGTAACAAGGTATGTATTAATGTAACTATAATTGTTTCTCGGGGTGGAGTCATCGACATTTGCTAAGCCGAGATTGCCATATAATGAATGAATGCTATTGACATAATTATAATGGCTTTAATATTTGCAATAGAGCATACTCGTAATTTATGAGCTTATTTTTTTAATAGCAACTATATTTTTTAGTTAAATCACGCAAAATTATCGGATTTAGACAATTTCTTCCCGAGTATTTATATGTAGGTATAAAACTAGCACATGCTTATACAACCTCTACAGTGTATATAGAGGTTAGATAAGCATGTGTACATCCGATTGAAACAAAGGACAATCTAGTCTATAAAAGTGAATTATTCGCTGTCTACTGGCGATGTCTCTGAAACTAGAAAGCATAAGACCGATGATTTTATATCAACCGAAGTCTTAAAGTGTATATGTTACAGTCGTTATAAGATAGAATCGTTACAGAGAGAGAGCGACTACGTATTGCACACAAACCTATATAAAGAAGGTAATAGAAATGTATCTAACCATAAAAATCACACTGAGCTATAAAAATACAATAGAATATGTGGCATAAAATTTGAAACATAAAACCGACAGTTATTTCAGTGGATATTTTATGTTGCGGTTGAAAGAGACGAATGTTAGCAGTATCGGGATGTGACAAAATTGGACTGTAACCGGAGGCTTGGGAAAAATTATAGATCGAGAACTAAAGAGAAACAAATAAAGAATGAAAAATCGAAATCTACAATTTCCAAGCTGAGAGAACTGAACTCGCCATTTTCGCCAGGACTACAAAAGTTAATAAACAAAATTTTGAGAATAATTATTATAGTTATGTAACTATAATTATTTGTGATTAATTATCTCTAAATTTTGAACACTAATCTAAAAATATTACCATGGAATCGATTTACTTTAAATATCAAACTAAATATTTATTTTTACTACAGGAAATGACAGACAAGCTGACTTCACATATAGTACATGGTATACATTACAATATTGGATTTACTAAAAAAAAAAAATATTAATATGACTTTAAAACTAAAATTTTACAGTAAATTTTACAAAATTAGTAAAATTTTACTTAATACAGAATTGTACTGGGTGTGCGGTATGATCCTATGTCCATAAACAAACAAAAGCATCACAAAATATACGCAACCTACGCGTGTTTATGGGGACCATATAACAGCATTTGTTATTATACTATAACCCGCATGTCAAACATTGTATTTAAATTAGAAATTTCATTATGATATACAGTATTTCTTTTCGAGTGTTAAAACATTTGAGAAATTCTACTAAGTACGGTGGACCTGTGACAAAATATCTGGTTGTTTGAGCAATAAATCCTACTCAAGACTGCGCACTGTCCAATTGACTTAAACATTCATAAAGTTGTCACGGTAATCAGCATATTGCATTATTCTTTACCATTAATGAATGATACACAAAGTCGAAAGTCACGATTGTTTACGAAGCTGCGCAATTAAATTTGGAAAGTTGTGCTAAATGGTCTGTTTTCACGATTAAACGGTTGAACGGATATTAATGAAATTTGATATAAAGATGATATCACGACGGACATAGACTATCTTTTATCTTGAAAGAGCACATGAAAACGCGGATAACGGCTAGTGTATAATAAATGAGTGTACGTGATTTAAACAGGATTGTTATTATATTACAAAGGCAAAAAAGTGAACAAAGAGAACGGAGGAAATTGGCAATACGAACGGAGGGCGTGTGCTCAGCAGGGTTCGGGATCGGCCCGCCCCGTAGGCGCTACATATCATCGCGTCCTTGGCACGCAATGTCGACGACACCGAAACACTACTTATCGCTATTTCATTTTGCACAAACAAATATAAAATGCTTTTCAACAACATAAACGAATTAATTAATTATATTCTGCACTATCTATAGTTTTGACTGGTAGAAAATGCCGCATGGTGTTCGGTCCGCCAAAGGCACTTATTACCTTTTATATTTTTGTGAGTAATAATAAATGTGTAATATTATTAATAAACTCACAAAGGTCATCCTACAATTCACAATGCGTCATCTAGATGCAACTAAACAGAGCTTGTACTATGTGTACTAAATACATTTTATTTAACAAATATTATAAAAAATATAGAAATAGTTTGTATTAATATACAGGGTTAAACAACCAAATCAAAGTATTAATTCTATTAACGAATGTCTGCATTGTGTGAGGAATTTAGAATCAGATGTGCGTTACATCTGATTCTAAATTCCTCTGAATTTAGAATCAGAACCTTAGGCGCCTTACGCAGCTAAACCATTAGACCAGAAACCAGAGACCGTCAAGTGTATATCAAATATTAGCACAGTAATAATAATAATCTCAGGACAATTCACACAGCACCACCTAGACCCAAGTTAACCCAAGTTAAGCTTATGTTATGGGTACTAGATCTAAACAAATCGACTTCGTAAATAAATACATATTATATATAGAAAACACCCTGACCGATACAAACAATCATACTTATCAATACAAATACATACTCATCAATATAAAATGTTTATGCCATAGGAGGAATCGAACCCGCAACCATTGGCCGTAAAGCGGTATACTAGACCGCATGCCCACCGAGGTCGTCAGTAACAAGCAATATGTGATTCTAGTCGTTTATTAGTCATATAATTCCAATACTGTCCGTTTGCCTAACTGATTATAGAATCGCCACTATAAATCTGCCCCGCACAATTCAACAATGTATCGAGGCAGCATCTAAAGCGCTGACAGGCGCTCAGCGCAAACTCAATAACGCGCGGGTGCAGCGGAGATAAAATATAAAGAAAACATTGAAACGGACCGTTTGCTGGGAGTCCCAGCATTTCCGTTAATTCTAAGTAGAAGTGCAATCTTCGGACTCACGTGTGAGGGTCAACGTACCGGCTTTGTAGCCATTACTGCGACCCGAGTCATACGATCTGGCACTATATATAAATATATGTGATATTTAATTCGCTTATAGACTATAGTAAAAGGATACATTTCTTGGAAGAAATCGAGGCTAGGCGGTTGGAGGATGTCTAGTGCCGATAGTACCTGTAAACAAATAAACACATATCAAACACTGATAATAACAACACAATATGGTTGCCCAGCAGTCGAAATTCGACCATAATTATGAAAATTATGTTTACCGTTCATACTATTAACTAATTAACTTTTATATGTCGATGTCAAAACCAGGGTAATGTGTGTAGGTGTGTGAAGATTTAAACATTATTATAAACAAATATTTGCTTTGTTTTCTTATTAAACTTTAACTTCTAAATTTCATACTCCTAAACTCCATAATATGACACCATATATTTTTAAGACGTTGATCTTAATATTTTCATTATAAAATATTTATATATAGAACTTCCTCTATTATTTGCATCAATTGCCATCAATACTATTGCAATTGTCACAAAACAACGATGATGCCAAATTCAGTTTTGCCGTTCAAATGCAAATTCTTAGTGATACGTGACAAGGGCGACAAATGCAAACAGAACGCTACAGTATATTTGCGATAATCGATAAAGTACAATGAAAATGAATAAATTATGACGACAGTGGACTGCGCATTACAATTATTTATTGTTTAATTACCCTATAAAATCGATTTAATTAGTCATATAATGAAAGGAAACAGGATCTCACCATTTTAGTATTGCCATAAGTGATATTCATACATACAATATTCATATATTATTCATATATTACAATGATAATATAATAATAATCTTGAACAATTTACTCAGTGTCATATAGTCCCAAGCAAAACAGACCTTGTAGGTAGCGCTGTGTTAATGGTCCAGAAAAAAAATATGTATCGTGCGAGGCATCGAACCTGCGTCATTGGAAATAAAGCGGTGTGCTAAACGGCATCGTCTAGCGGTTTAAATTATAATCGTAATTTTCGAAATATGATATGTCAGAGATTGCTTTAAACAATAAGGCCACCCTTCGCTTTAGCACATTTATGTAAATGTTCCTTTTTTGTAAATAATTTTCTGACCACAATAAAGAGTTATATAATATTATTATCTTAGGCATGGCATGTTTCATATTATTACTATAGGATATAAAATATAGATCTGATCAGTGTGCACATGCACGTAGACAATTCGTAATAACTATGTATATGGTGACATTGGGTAAAAGTAAGCCATAAAATGAAACTATGGTTAATATTTCGCCGGCCCCTCGGTATCAAAGCAGCACTTCGCCACCGCGTTGTATTTTTTACGATTCGATCATAAATTATAGAACACGTGTTAGAAACATTAATCTGATGTTAAAATTTATGAATATTTGACACCTCGTAACTTTAAACACTGTTAGGCCAATTAAACTACAATTTGCATAAATATGTAAACAATTAGAAATAAGTTGGTGACGTTTAGTCTTAATTAGATCTAATTAATAATAGTAGCATTTAACAGGGTGACAGAATTGTTTAAAGAAGAATATTTAAATTATGTAATTTTACCTACAAACCATTAAAATCCAATGAAATAGATGCAGTCCGTGTATCTAATTTGTACATGATACACTAATTTATATGAATATAATATGTTGTCTTAGTAACATATAAAGAAGATTAAAGATATATGTCCTAAAAGAATTAGCAGATTATAGCATTAAAGGCCATCGTTAATAGGTCGCCACAAAACAAAACGTCGCAAAAGTTTTGACTATTTGCAAAAACATATATATATATATATATACGGTATTTTCTAATCGGTTTAATTAATAGGGTTTGGCGCCCGATAACATAAAAGAAATCGTTTAGTAAGTATAAAAAATAAGACATGCTTATTTTTAATAATGATTACTATAAATGTATAAATAATACTAACATTTTCGTGTTTGAAGAAGCAGAGCATCTTGAGCTCGCGGAAGACGCGCTTTGATGAAACGAGCGACTGGAAAACGTTGGGCAACTTCTTGAGGGCGACGCGCCGGCCATCGCGCGGGTCCGTCACTGCCCTGTGAACAAACATATGACTTATTACAATACGAAACAAACACAACAATGAGAACACATAAAGGGGTAATAGAATTCGTGGTACTGTAACAAACTGAATATATAACTGGAATTGAACGCTGACCTATATAAAAAAGATTAGGATTCCATTTTTTGTATTGAATAGACAGGTAAAATTCGTTCTAAATTCTTCTTAAATGTACGTTTATCTTATAATAAAAAATATATTTTCACGATAGTTCGAAAAACTTTTTGCTTAATAATGTTTTAATTACATAGGATTAACATTTTAAATAACCATTCAGAAATAATTAAATCTATATTTTTAACTTGTACGGTCTTATTGAAAGCTTGTCCACATTTTTTTATTAATATTTATTTTTAGTATTATCTATTCTGACTGTTCTGAGTTCTTGAGCTCTCAGATTACACATAAAGCGTTTGTTACCAGATAAAGGTTAAACACTCTTAATAGTAATAATAAATAATTCGTCACATAGTATGCATGTTGATTATTAGCAACCACAGATTATCATGACAAAAGGTTCCATTACAAAATATATCTAATCAATTCAACAACGTGAGTATAGTCGGTGATCGTGATGCGTATTGACATAAACATTATTTAAAATAAGAAATTACCATAACAAAGTTGATATTGTTATACGAAAATGCAGATAAGCACCCCATTGGTAATTTTAAATGTGTTGCTACGAAGAAATATTTGTACAATGTGTATTTTAAACAACCTCAAGTGTTTGAAATATATTAGGAAAATGCTATCTTACTTTTAAAACGTGTATTATTAAGTACGTTATGATGTCTTTTGAATAGAATTATTTAGCGTTTATAAATATAAGGTAGCAGAGTGAGTAAAGCTATCGATATATAGATGTATATGGTATATGTAGTGTTGACAAATATATAATGGTTGCAACCATTATTTATATGAAGTTCAACACTAACCATTTATATATATATAGCAAACTAATTGTAGTTAAAATTAAGGCTAAATAAATTTCAAAAAACGAGTGTGAAGTATCGTGGTACGAAATTTTTATAATACACGTGCATAAAAGTTACTGTAATTTTTAAAACGTCGAGAGGTAACCCTTATAAAATTATTCGTGTTAAGATCCGGTTAATAATAAAATACGACATAAAAGCATTTTAAAAATAAAACTAATTCCTTTAGAGTATCGATATCGATACAGAAACATTTTGAAAATGAAATCGTTACATTTACAGTAAAGTCCACACGTATATATAGAAAAGTGACGTACCCTCGCGCTAAAGGGACCGTTAGGCATGCCCTTGCGATTATTATCGTCTGAACGTAGGGCCGCGATAATATCCGAGGGATATGGGGATGCCAGCCGTGCCGAGAGCAACGACCGAAGCTCGAGCTGCCGGCCGGCCCCGTCGCACGCCAGGGCCGTTTGAACATTTCAAATTAGGGATGTCTCTGATTTATTGCCTGTGGATTTGGGCGTCCGAGTTCACGGGCAAACAAATACCGCGTAATTGATTGTTTCAAAGGAAATTATATGCGCACGCCGAGCCAAATTTCTGCGTGTGAACTTAAATTGAATTTGAAATTACTTTTACATTACTGCGTATTTGAGTACTATTGATTGTTTCATAAAAAAAAATGAAAATCTTAAATTTGTTGATGTTGGATCAAATGTTTATTCATAAACGTTTATTATATTATGTTATGTTAATTTATGCTACTTAGTTTCATTAAACGTCAATAAGGTAGTTTTTTTAGTATTCTTAGGATTCGACATATCGACTGACACTCCCAATTTGGCAAACCAAACAAGCATGCATATCGAAAGACAATGGCAGGAAATGTAGTTACTGTGAAACAAAGTAAAAACATACTGCACAAATATAAACTTTACGACATACCCATAAAGATTACAATGGCACATAGTAAATTTGGTACAATACAGTGCGAATTATAAAATCGTGAACAGGTTCAATAACTTATAAATTAACACGGAAATGCGTAAATAGGGACATTAATCCTGATTCCACGCCGTGAACACCTTCACGGCGTGGAATCAGGTAATGTAATAACCGGAAGTGAGCTTTAATTTAATTTATTAATTATCCTTTTGTGTCGCTCTTAGTTTTTATAGGGTGATAGTTATGACGCGAAGAAGAGAAGAAATAAAAACTTAATAAACTTATTCTTTGAAAATTAATGTTAGTGTTAACATTATTTGTTTGTTCTGTGTTTTACATTAAATAGAAAATTACGTACACGAACAACTAATGTCATTTAAATAATAGTTTTGTGAGTAATCAGGCCTTGCTCAGAAAATGAGTTTTAACAGAAGTTTTAATTTATTTAACGGTATCTCCAGAATATCCTTTGGTATCTTTTTGAATTTCTTTCATTTTCCACATTCAATGCAGATATAGATATGTCTGATATCTATGAACTTTTTTTCATGTATAATTAAAAATCACACAAATTAAAAAACATAAATTTATTTGTACACTAAAGTATTTAAATATAATATTTATACCGCTCATATGGTTAGACGTGTTATATGATTGCTCTTCAAAATATATTCGCTTGATACAACATGTCGGAACGCTAAGTAGCACCGCTAGCGATGCATGATGGACGCAGGCTGACGTGTACACATACAGCCATATAAGTAGCATTCCATTACGAATAACTCATCAAATTATTTACTAATATATATTGTTGTTTTCTCAAAAAATTTTAACCAAACTAGTCATAAAAAATAATAGAGATAAAAATAATACATAAAATTACATTGAATGACATATCATTGTTAGAATACTAAAAAAGAATGAAACAGTCTCAATACTAATATACCTCAATACTTTTTCGCTTGTCTATATTGTGTTTCACTGACTGACTGTCTGCTTTAGAGAAGTTAATAGATGAAAAAAATAATGGCATCCAATTATATTTACTACACTGAAAATCAAACACTAATGAAACAAAACCACTTTTAACGAGAAACAAATTGGAAATCTGAAAATAAACTTTAAACAAATTTGGCCCGTGACCCCACAGTTACTTCTAAAAGTTCTAAAAACTTAAATTTTTCACTTCACTTCTTTAAAAAAGATAATCAGTCTACTGAATATCATCACTGGCTTTCGGACGACAATCGATGTTTTCAACCTTATCGATTCCCTATCCAATTCAAACGGAGATCGAAATTACGATAGTTTTGGCTGATGTTCGGACCTTACCAGGTAGGAGTTGTCCTTCAGCCACTCCTTAAGTCCTACCGTGGGTTTGCAGTTCCATCTACACTCGTCCCCCTCATCCCCTTCATCGTTCAGTGAAGCTGAAACGGCTGCAGCCAACAGCTTTAGAATAACTAGCTCGAAAAAATAATTAGCTTTTGATTTGACATATCTTTTACTACTAACTCTGTATATATACATACATGTGTCATAGCATATTAGGTTACAAGCAATGAGCGAACATAAACCTAACGAGGAATTAGTGGAGCGAGATTTACCGCGTGGACCTGATGTTCATTGGCTCAAAAGAGCAAGGCTGTATCGTTCGCTACCATCTCTATGAACACCACTACTATATTCGTCAGAGAGATTTTTACAATGCACACCCAGTGACTATGTCCTATTTTAGAAGATAATATTGTTTTAAAGAAATTCAATTTATTTTATTTATGTTTCTATGACGGTGTGTAATGAGGTCCTAATATTCTTTACACACTCTGAAGAAGAATGTCTAACATAATCAGAAATAATCTTTACATTTTTAAATAAACTTCTTTTAAAATATTTTTTTTATATTTTATTTATTAATTTGGAACAACTAGTCACAAATCTGAACAATTTTCGAATAAAAATAATAAAAAAAACTGGAGTATCACAAAAATAATGTTAGTTCCAAAACAATATCTACGAATGTCTATTTTTATTGTATTATATGATATACGACTGCAGAATATAAATATAAATAAATACATAAATTTTGCTGTCTTTCTGAAACAACAATGATATGGCAAATAAATACTTGATACACAGTAGCAATAGATCCAAGTACATACTTTATTTAAAGCGGACAATAATACAAAATTCAGGACGATATTTTCTATACAAATAAAGTGATGTATCTTAAACTAACTCTTTTTAAATTAAGAACCTAACTGATGAAATTGTCTGCACAACTTAGATGAGGCATAAATAACACTCAAATTATACAATGTGTGGAAAAGCACGCGTCAAAAATCATTAAAACTTCACGAGTGTCTTTAAACTACAAACCACGCGTAATGACTATAATAACCAAGAGTAACACCGTAAACTTACCGAAACACATTTCTAAATTAACGACGAAACGTGTACGTATAATATTCAAAACGTCGAGACACCTGTGGGGGCAAATACTACAAAATGAATGGCCATATTCCAAGATAACGCAACTCCTTGAGGTTGGGAAAACAAAATTCCAGAGGCAATAAGAATAAATTAACGGAGCGAATGTAGATGGTGTTTACAGTGTTACTATTACAGCGATAAGTTGAATGAATACACGAATACACAACGCTTAAGAACACAAATAGTAAAAAAGTAAATAACTGTAACGTTACATACAAATATGTGTTGCATCAATTACAAGCTTTTAAAAAATGGTGTTAAAGTGCGTCGACTGTGATAAAAATCCAATGATTACAGACAAGACAAAAAGTGCAAAAATATTACACCAGCAAAGTCAATAAATTTGATGAATTATGCCCGTGAAAATAAAAATTATGTTCACCACTAGGTATATTTACGTTCAGTTGGTTTTCATATTGTATATAGAATAAAAAAACCATTACAGCTAAATGTAATCCCTTAGCAACAGGAAAAATCCTAGCTAAGTTACAAGTAGACTATTTATGTGTAGAGGTTTCCGATTGCGTGTGGACGTCAGTCCGGGCTTGGTGGCGCCGAAATAATCGCCCGTCCTATGTCGCCGCAGTCTGTGCCA